GTATGGAGTACGTGTCTGCGTGAAGGTGGCTCGCCCCTGTTCCCTGCTCCGTATACTGGTCTCGTACTCCCATAGCTGTATCCTGTTTCCCTACATGCTGTGGTAGCTACAGTTTCCCTGTGTATCGTACCATAGTAGACGCAATAAAAATTCTATATATTCTTAAAATGGCGGGATTGCCGAATTCACCAATAAAATATCATTTCCTGATAATGGTCAAAATTGTAATCGCCGTCCACCAGGGTTGGGTACACCATCACTGTCATCTCCATATACATGCAGTCTCAGGCCTCACGAGCCGATATCTCACTGACACTCGTACGGTGTCACGGTGGGATCGAGGTGCCGGGGGATATCTGAGCGATTTGAGGTCAAAATAGTAGATGATACCGCGGGTATATGTGTGAGATATCTCCACCTATACCTCGCGATATCCAGCCCCAAGTCTCTCTGAACCATCTGGCAGGATTGGGGGTGTAGTTTGCGATTCGCATACCGTTCGGTGCCTCGTCTTATGCCTTTCTTTCAAGAGAAATACGAAGCTGGGCAAGGCTAGCCTTGGGAAGTCGCATATTGTACCAGGCTATAGCTCGATTCGAAGTACCTCAAGTACGTATGATGTGTAGCAGTAGGGTTGAGAAGACACGACGAGGACGCGAGAGAGGGGAGAGGAGCGCGGGCAGCAAGAAGTCTACAAGGCATATCAGGGTTAGGGTTGGGGTAGACGCGCGCGCGGCCGCGACGCGGGCATTTCGTCTCGAACAGGGACAGCGCGATGTGCGCCGTGAGTTTGAAGCAAAGAGAGAGAATGGTGCACAACTATACTTGGGCTTGGATTCTGAGGCACGCAAACAGTCCGGTGTGGCGTCGAGTGCTTATCTCGTATTCGCAGGCGATGAAAGAACTTAGAAGTCCAAGAGAGAATCTTTTGGGCGCAATTTCACGTCATTTTGCAAACCGTTGTATAGAATACCGCAAGAGTTCGTATATCAGATCTGGAAATCAACATAGTATAATACAGGCACAAGAAAAGGTCAAGATATCATCCGGATACTAGAACTACGATCAACGGCATCAAAGGCTACTTGCATCGCTTGTGACATGTGGGGCAAAGTCGAACCCACTTGGCAACAAAGTCCTTCGAAGGGCCAACGTATCTCTCTCGAACTCTCCTCCATGTCTTCGTCGCATGAACGTGATATTTTCCATGAGCACGGACAAGCAGGTCATACAGCTCGCGGCCTTCGTCCACGAGCTTGCGCTCGTCCCGGTTCTCGCGGCGCAAGCGATGACGGCCAAGCCACGCCTTATCCGCATTATCCAGGCCATCACCGCAGCGACTAACGAGCCATGCACGCACGAGCGCATGTTTTTCTTTGGGCGGCACGACCCAATGGCTCGTACGACGTGTCTTGTCCTCAAGCTCATAGTGGTTCGTTAGCCTCGGGAAGGTGCTGGACTTGTGCGATGACGTGAGCGTCGGCACGGCTCTGGACAGGCTGCGCCGGCTAGCCTTCTGAGCAGTATGTCAACGCATGATAGACATGTAGAATGAGCGTCTGAGCTACATACTGCCTTCTGCACGTGTGAAAGGATCGACGCGCCGCGCGCGCGCGTGGGCAAGAGCGGGCGGACAGACACTGAGCGCACGGCGCGAGGTGCAGTGGCTGGGATCACTTCGTCCTTGTCACGAGCACCTCTGCCCATGGCGGAGGTAGGAGGTGATGATGGCGCGCACGAGGCGCGCGACTCGTGGTCATCGTCCACGTCCTTGGTGAGGTCTATGGTGCAGCTGAGAACACGGGTCACAGGAACTTGCGGCATTGCACACTCTGAAGGGTTTGGTCAGTCACATATTGATGCTAATGTGGATGAGAGGACGAACCGCGGTGTCGGATCACTATTTCGTACAACCGATCGAAGACAAGAGGCCAGGCACCCTTGGTCACGACTGCATGGTCAGCGCTATCCAGTAAAAATACATCTGAGCATGAAACGCTCTGCAGCTTCGGGTACAAGGCGCGGCGAATCGTGGAGACCATGTGCTGTTCCAAGAGTGGTAAGCAAGACGCCGTACCATCGTTACATGAGCTTACCGAGTAAACTGGACAACGAGGAAGTAGGTAAACGGTCGAGTCTCCGAAGCAGCGTGCTCGGATGACCGTCGCCATGTCGGTTACAGAGAGATGTTGGGAAAGATCGTGACGAGATGGTAGTATGTCGGTGCCCGAGCCAGACTTCGTGGACGTAGAAATCGAGTTGGGATTATTGCGATCAGCCATGGCGCCAGGCTGGAGGTATAGCGGTGGATGGTGTACAATCTCCAAAAAGCGCCACGAGCTTTATAGCACTGCATCTAGCTATCCCGCGCGGCTAGGTTGAGTCAGTATTATTATCGTGCGAATGGTGATATTGCGCCCGACTCGCCTGCAGGATGCTTGCGCACCACCTTCCACTGGAAAAGAGGGGCGCTACGCTCGCCGGACCCAGCATGAGTGACGTAAAGAGTATGAAACGGCGAAATTGGGTCGGAGGACACGGTGGTCGAAAGCGACTAGCGCGGTCACGCCTCCGCGCCTCGCGCGCGACTTATTCGCACGTCTCAACCTGACCGCGATCAATCATGATATCTGCATCCTACTCTGTCTTTGATGCAAGACTCCAGCTGCAACACTATTCGATCTGCTATCTGCGCTCGGGACTAGTAGAGGCACACTTCGTACTCGACATTTGAGACCTCAGAAGCGCATTGTCACGGACAATACACCATATACTGAAAGCAGATGCAACACGAAGCGAAAACGCCAACCATGCATGAGAACGTATAAGTCTTGGCTGTGCAGACGAAGTTGTGTGGCTACACACCAGGGCGAACTTGACCGCCATCAATAGTGGTCGCGTGACTGCAACGTGTAGTGCGGAAGTCTTTTGAGTCCGCATCCGATTTGACAGACCAAAGCCCTCTACTCATATCCCGAAGTGCACGAACGGCGCCCACTACAGGACGTTTTTCTCCCCAACCTTCTCCCTCAGCCGCTCAGCTGCCTCGTGCAATGCGTACGCGGCTCCCGTCTCTCCAGCGCCAAGCACGCCCGATGCGCGTAGTGCGAGAAGCCCCTTATGGTACTCCTCGTCGACTACCGGCGTGTCGTCATCCTTGATGGACCACATCGTCGCGATGCCACCCTCATACCCCACAGCGAGCATACCTGCTGCGAGGTGCATCGATTCCTCAGGGATCTTTTCGTCGCCGATGATGGTCTGACAGGCGGAAAGAAACGCAAGCTCGGCGTTATCCGCCGTAGTCATCGTCAAATCCGACAGCGAGTCCGCCGCTGTACAGCGCGAATGCACTACCTGAGGGATCGTTAACCTCTTGACAGCCGTGCCATGCGAGATGCAGCCAAGAGTGCTCCTGGAGAGCAAGTTTCACGGCGCCAACCGTCGCCTCTTTACCATTCAGAGCCGTAGAAGGTGTTTGAGAGGCGGCGGAGATGCTTTTGGATGGCGTCTGACACTAGTCTGATGAGTCCCGGGAGGTATCGCAGGCATCATTCAGATCACCCAGCTCTCCCAGGCGCTCTAAGCGTGCAGCTAGCGATCGAGCGAGTGAAGTAGATCGTTCTGCCTTGTCTCTAGGGTCATCCGACGCGAGGTCAACTGCACGGCGATGGCCTGTGATGGCTTGTTCCACGTCCGCAAGTTCGCCTGTGCACTTATAGCGTGCGAATGATGATTCGCCGGTGGTACTCAATTGCTCTGAAACTTCTGGCGAGGTATTGCTGAGATAGTCGGGGTTTATTTCATCGACAGAGGTCGACATCGGCGTGAAGTGTCAGAGCGAGGAGGGGGGTTGAAGACCGGCAAGGCGTAAAAACGAGGACAGTAGTCTTCGGTTCAGACCTGGCAAACTCCCATCGCCACACAAGAAGCAAAAAAAACATGGATATCGATGATAGCGATAGACGTCGATAGACGCTCATATGTGCGAGCGGACGTTCACGAGCAATCCAGTTGGTGTATGAAAGCGGTAATGGATGTGTGGCGATTAGTGATGTAGCAAAGCAGCATCCACTATGAATTCGGTACGCGCATGCACCAGGGACGCTTTGCCTCATTCAAAGCACTCCCCAGCTCGTAGCGCCACGTCGGAAGTACACATATTTCCTAAGCAAGCGCCGTTAGCAATATTCGTGAAGAGACATGGACTTATAACACACCTCAGCAGAATACCACAAACTGCATATGACCTAAGTTGACATCTAGTCTGACCATTCCGTCAACGCCCACAACCTCTTCCCGCAGAACGCCCATCACATTCCCAACACGCTCCTCCTCCCACTCTGCGCTCTCAACGTGAAATGCGGCATAAAGCATCGTTCCCAACCTGCGACAGGTCTCTCGCATCACCTCCTCGATGGAGTTTAGCAGGTCGATTGGAACACCCGCCGTATGTGTTGAGGCGCAACGCTGCACTACGGGCGCGAGCCAAGCCTTGTCAGCAGCATGCGCGTCTAAGGGTAGTGCATTCGTCATCGTAGAGTGTAGTGCGATCATGGCCAGCACCTAAGCGCGAGACTTCGCCGGTCTCGTCCGCACGTCGCATTGGAGAGCGTATACGCGAGTGTCTCTAGCCGTTGAGCATACTGTTCGAAGACGACATGCGCGAGCCTTTTCCGGTCTATCCCGCTCCCTTTCCAATGTCAATCGCTGAGCAACCCATCCAGCTCCCGTAACTTCGCGCCCGCGTCCGCCTTGGATACCCCCTTTAGTCGGTGCTCCTCGCAAGGCTTCCCGTGACGCGAATTCAACAAGCTTATGACGGCGAGATCGCAAAGCGTGACAATCTTGTCGTACAGTGTATGTACGCGAGTCTCCCCTGGTGCTTGGGCATGTCGCTTGGCTGCGACGCGGATGTTGTTGCCGGTTTTGGTCGGTAGAGAATCGCGCCAGCCAGACGGACGGCCGGGACGCTCGCGCCAGCGTGGACTACCCATACCGCGATTCGGAGGGTCGATATTGCCTGAGATAGGCACGTAGGGCATCGCTTCGACTGCAGATACGAGCTTGAGACCGTTGGTCATGTCACAATACATGACCTCGCTAGCGAAGGCATGATGAATACTGGAGCATGTTCAAAGCAAACGATATCACTTACAAGCCAATCTCCATTCGTACAAATCCATCCAGACTGCTGCCTCGCCCATTTGCGCAAGGTCTCGATGCGCTCATCCTCGTCCTCCCACGGATGATCTTTGCGGCGACCTTTAACGTCTCCAAACACCAAGAGTTCCTAGGTGTCGCTTGAGTCATCTTCCACCTTCGCGCCGCTGGAGCCGTCGGAGTATGGCATTCGGAGTTCGCGAGTCGTTGAGAACGTGAGGATGATCCCGCCGCGCCAACGCGCGAAGTGATAGCCATGTTCAGAGTCGAAGGCGAGCCAATCAGGATATGTTGAGATTTCGGAGCCAACCTTGCCCCGGTAGAGCAGAGTGCCGGGTGATATGATACATAGAGCGATTGTTTGTCCTGAGGGCGCGGGAAGATGGTGGTCAACGTCAAGCTGCGACACCACGCATCAGACACCACTTGCTCACGACGCTCACCTGGGCGCACGACTGCATTTGGCTAAAGCTGCACTAATGAATCCACCGAATTGAAGACATGATGCATGATGCCTGGTAGCATCTATATTCGGTGCCCCACTTCATTCCAGGTCTCCAGTGCTCTTGATAGGCGGTAAGGGCGCTTGTCGCTCGCTGTCGAATTCGCCGTCTCGGATGCCCACTCGGCCGAGGATAGTGGGAGCTACGATGAGCAGGAGGATGGCCCGCATCTGTAGTGAGGGTGGAAGACAGTCTGTGCAGCCGTATGCAAGGCCGGGATACAGTGCCCGGACGGTCTTCGGTTGATTCACACATGGGTGCTCGACGTCTAAATTCGTGCACAGATGAACCCCTTTGCAACACAGCTGTGAGTATGGCCTCTGAATCAGATGGGTGTTATTGCGACGGCAGTATCGAATCCTAGCAAATATAAACATCTGCGCGAGAGGAACCAGGCTCGAGCTCAAGTGCTTCAGGTGCGAAGCTTTGTCTGATAATAGACTCACTTATTTTCATATTTTCCCGCGCTCACGTTCTGTTTCAAGATGGCAAGCGCACGTCACTATCATAACGAGCTACATCGACCGAAACCATGCATTGTGCTCTCAATACGATTCAGGCGATCGCGCCTACACCGCCTTGCCTAATATGTTAACAAGCGATCATTCGACACAGGAAAGCAGCGTCCACGGTATCCGCATTCTCCGCGCCATATTCGCCAACTACCTGGACCCCCAGCCACCCTTGGTAACGTCGACGGCGTATGCACCAGCAAGCACAGGCCAGGACAGCAAGAACCACGACGCCGGCGACCACAACCTCAGCAATTGCCCTGGCCGCTGTCAGGGCCGACTTCGCGAGAACTCTCGGGTTGCGCACTCGAGGATGCAGAACGAGTCTGATGGATTCGTACTTTCAAGGGAAGACGAAAGTGGACGACGACTGGCCGCTAATGCGGCCCTCGAGTCGTTTCGATGGGTACAATCGGATGCGTTGCATATGGACTTGCGCGAGCCGTGTGATGTGTAGACGCCCCCCGACGTGTACGAGACACTTCGCCAGTCGTTGGAGAAGGCAGGAGACGGTGCCTGTCCTAGTGACTTCAGCTGTCGGCATTCTGAAGCAGACATGTCTGTAAACTCACTGTAAGAGCGACCGGGTTGAGAGCGACCGGGGCCGGGACCATATCGACTCGTATGGGTAGGTGGAGATCATCGACTGCGACGGTCAAGCCTGTGCTGAGGCGGGTATCGAAGGCATGAAGAACGGGAGACATCTTGAATCCTTGTATCATCCACCCGATGATATGGTCTCCTCCAGGGAGTTGCAGCGGTGTTGGGTTGCCCAAGTGAAATTTGACGCGTGCTATTGCGTCTTCGGCGAGTCGCTTGATCGAATCGTCGTATGTGAAGTAGGACCAACCTGGCCCTGAGAACTCCGGGTTGCAGCGTTCAAGTGGGGCCACAATGTAGTGGAATACGTCCGGTGACTGATCGTGCCAGCCTTTGGGAGTTTGCCAACCAATGAGTTTTGTTTGAAAGAGCGCTTCGTTGTGGCTGCGTGCGATGAATTGCACGATACGCGCGTAGCAATCGACTCCGACTCGAAGACGGTGGCAAATTATCGTCCCTAGACAAAGCACCGCTCGCCCCCACTCTGTAAACAGCCAAAGCGCGCTTTGGCGGGCGCCGTATGCATCGCGATGTAGGTCGAGGAAGTTCTCGACGGTCTTGAACATTGCACGCGCGGCTAACTCCTGGCGGACGGGCGCATCCTCTGGCCCATTATCGGAAACCTCCGAGATCTTGGAGACCGTGCTGAACGGCGGTAGGTTCACAGTGCGCGCAGTAGAGTCAGAATGGTGGCCAGAGTTGCGAGAAGGTGAAGTAGGCAGGGAACGAGCAGATGCTGCGGGAGACTGAGAAAGAGACATTCTCTCGACCAGGACACGCACTTGATAGCCTGGGTGTGCGGTGAAGCATGGACTCGAGAGAGATGAGAATATTCTCCTGCCGCGCTAAATACGGCGCTCGAGACACCACGAGACATGCTACATAAACGCCCAACGTCTGTGGTGATGGTCTACGGTTTGAAGGATGTTTACCTTATCTCTGGTGATCACACGGCACATTTTTCGGCACTATGGCCGCCGAGTGCGCCGGCCATCTTCCTGGTACTTTGATTTGCGCGTCATGGTGACGTCCATTGTACCGCTTCTGATACGAAGCATGGGGCTAGTATGCTGGTATTCTGGAAACGTACAGCCAGTAGATACACGAGGAAATCCAAAATATGGTATAATTCATGAAATCAAGGGTGTTCACCTTGGAGAATGGGCGCCGCTACGTGAGACGCGTACATCAAGAAGCACCCTGGAAGACCCGTACATTTCCCATACCGACCTCTGACTATTACAGTGCGATGGTTCGTGCGAAGAGGAAGAGACAGTATTGAGCGTGCTGCAGCCTGCTTTTGGAGTGTCTTGTGCCTCATCCGTGCTCTCCATGATTGGCTTACTGAAGATGTTATGCGGGAAGTATGGTAGACGACCGCACGCATCCTTCACCTCTGGGCGCCGTCCAAAAGGAATGTGTTGCCTAAGACCGACGACGCTCGTCGGCAGCGGTGAACTAGCAGAAGAACGAGAGAGCAATTGCGAAGCCGCATCAGTTGCGGCTGGAGACAATAACTGAGAGGCCCGGGAAACTGACGTCCTGGAGTCAGCGGTATTCTGAGTGTATCGTTATCTCACTGCACGGGATGATAGCAGGCCAAGCGTAAATACCTGTTCATGTGTACGACCACTCAGGAGCAAGTCCTTGCCAGGCGCAGGCCAGCCCGTTGCATCCACATTCACCGCACTGATCTTACGGCGAGCGCATCGTTTCCGATGACTCCTCCAGTGGCCTAGTATAAAAAAACCACCAGCCTTAAGTTTGATGGTTGTCTTGCACCGGCGGCAGCGTACGCTTTCAGGATTCTGTACGTCGGCCATCGGATCTGCATGAAGGGCAGCCTCGCGTGCGAGCTGGACCGACGTGCGTTTCTCGGTACTATGCGGTGACCGATATCAGAATGATTTTGTATATAGTGCGATGGGACCTTACGCAGAACGCTCGGAGAACTGACTACGGGTATGATGCGTTGATGTATCGTTTTCGTGCATGCTGTTGCCGTGATGAGATTGAATGGGGGGAGTCAATGATCGACCAGTGAAGGTGCAACACCTGTTTACAACCCTATCCTCTGTAAGTTCGAAGCCGGTGGTCAAACGCAATGAAAACGTTACTCACCGAGACCTGAGCGGATACGCCTGGCGTTCCTGTAGGCACGACGAGGACGGGGACGAAGTCAGACGCGACAATTGAGTAAGCATGCATTTGCTCACCAAAGGCGCTACAGAATATCTAGTATTCATCAACAACTTCTCCAGTGAAACAGATAGCTTCTACGCACTCGCGAGGGCGGCTAGGGGCTCCAGTGGGTAGCATGACTTTGCGCGAGGGCGGCATAAGACTCGTGTGTCTGGGGGGGAGTAGATGAGGGGAAAAGGTGCAGGGATTGACCGGCGTATTCGCGTTATGTGCTGCTGTCGCCATTGAAGGAGCTTCCACAGAAATAGAAGGCAGGTGTCGCCGTACAGGTGCTCTCAGGAACGCGTGCTCCAAGCGAAGGGACCCCAATGAATCGGCGCTGACATCTACCCCATGGGCGTCCGTGTGCAAATTGGGACATATTGGTCCCGCACTAACGCATCTCATCGGGGCGCCTATATGGATAAGATCAGAGAGAGCAAGAGTGACTGGTGAGTGGCTCACGACTATAATCGGGACGACCTCGCACGCAACTCTGGCGCCCTCTGTGGGAGACAGTCTGCAGGGCCAGCTACACCTGAGTTGGTGACAGTATTCTCGAACGCCGGTGTATAAAAGCCCATAGTGAACTGTGTCGGACGGATAGAAGAGGTAGGCATCGATGATGGATAGACAACATTGTGAGGAGGTTAAGGATGGAACGGCCATTCTGCAAGCGTAGGTAGCCTTTGTGAAGAAGCCATTATTGCTTCAATGACGGTGTCCCGCATTCACACCGTGGGCAACGTGGTGGTCGAGAGTCAGCGGTAGACTGGCTGTGCGTGCCGACATCGTTCCATGCTAGTGATCCCATCAAAACCGTCCGGAAGACGTGCAGATTGACCAACCCAGCTTGATCCCTACCTGCACCATCTAAGTAGGTTGTTCAAGATCCATGCATCTCCCTTAATATGTAGACTCCGAGACGGAGATCGCCTCGTACTCTACTCGCGCGGTACAAGGCCACGACGGCAAGTGGCTACTACTTTGCGAGCCTGATCAATATCGTATACAGACATCACGCTTCTGCCGCCTTCTCTTTTGTAGCTTTCTCTCTGTTTTGCCTACTGGGGGGTATTGTACACGACATCGATGCGAGGTCTATATTTGCGGTCGTTCCACACCCAGCTAGGTGTCATCCATTAGTTAGCAGCTGATCGGTCGGTCCTATTGTTGATTTCACCGATTGGCCGCCTAGGATTGCTCTCCCCAGCGATTTATTTACATTTGTTTTGTCCCTCGCTAGGGGTAGGGTTCGGTGATGGCGGAGGCGGAGGTGGAAGCGAGCGCAGAGGTGACGCGTGCGCCTTCCGCTTTTGGCCAAAGACGCGGCGCGTGTCGCCTCCCACGCTCAGTTCGCCGTTCACTCGTACTTAGCTCCCTACGCACTCGCACTCTGTTGGTGGGACTAGTACCCACTGTAATCCAAAGGTTATCTATATGGTGGTTGGCATAAATTCAAGCAGCTTCGAGGCATATGCATCGCGTCCATGTATTATAAATAATAAATAAGAGAAGGTTACCTTGTTATTTCCTGGCCTTCTTCGACGGAGGCATCGGACCCATGATGCTAGTCGCCTTCCGCTTCGTAGAGGTCTCCTCACACCTGTACGTTCCACTATTGCCATCCTCCTCCGGCAGCGATGCAGCAGGTGTTCTCTCGCCAGATATACTAGAGTTGGCACCAGTCATACGTTCGAGGACTTCACTCGCCACTTCTGTGAACGCGGCATTACGCTCTCTGAGGGCGTCGAGAAGTGTGCGCGTTGGGGAGAGCACCGATGCTGTCTGCGCATTGCGTGACTCGATGATCCCACGCATAGATCGCAACGCCTCTGTCACCTCAACCATGAGCACGCGAAAGTCGCTACCAGCTTCCGGGTCCACTGCGTTGGCTTGGTAGATTGCGCGAACAACACCAATGAGACCAAATCGACCGTTCAGTCTGAGCACGTCCTGCAAAGGCATTTGACGGATGTTCTGCCACATGTCGGCAACGAGCGCAGTGAAGTTTTTCTCGGGGACTTGTCTATAGATCTTGTTCGCCATGCGCGATCTCGACGCCCACTGACGCGCTGACCGAATATCGAGCGGCGCAGGGCGCCCCACCTGATCCGCGCATCAGTAACGTCGACCCTCCTGGTGTCAGACTGGCTTACCTGATTTACATTCAAAAGCTCAAAGTTGATCATCTCTGTCGCCAACATCGAAGCCGCCACGGCGTCCACGCCTTCCCTTCTGTACGAGTCTTGCCACATCAGGCCCGTGAAGCGGAAGGCTCGGCCCATAAAATCTGGGAGACTCATGGGGCCGCCGTCTTGCTCGAGGCTGTACCAATCCGCACCGCCCGTCGCGATGTCCTCAGGACGACCTTCCATAAGTGCCGAGATCCGCCGGTCTTCTTCAGCCATCGCCGTCTCGTAAGTCTCGGCAGGAACTACCGTCCTTGCATCGACCGATGAGCTGTCCTCTTCGATCGTAGTGATGGGAGGCAACAAATCAAGCTGCTACACATGATGATGTCACTATCGAGATACCACATCTCTGACGCAAACGTTTCACCTGAGCGCGTCGTCCGGTCGCGGCTTCGGCTCTTTTGCCCACCAGAGGCGCGTCCGAGACTTCGTCCATTGTATCATCTACACGGCCCGATCGTGCTGGTGCGATATCCTGGGTGTTGATCGTGTTGAGGGCAGTAGACGTGCCTACTACAGCCTAGGGGCGTAAGTGGTGGGGAGCTACCTCAGGTATTCTATAAGGCGCTTACCCTATCCGCCCCCATCGACCTCCGCCGCGCGTTGCGGTCATGGCTCGCCCTTCTGCGTGCTGGTTGTATCTTCTGTTGCCTCATGAGCTGTAGGTTTACAATAGTGGTGATTGACGCACCTGAAACCCCACCGCGGCGGATGTAACTTCCGTATCGGCTTGTCTCAGAACCGCGCTCCGGGAGGGGACTGCAGTTGACCCTAGTTCCACCGGAACTTCAGCAAACGCAACCTATCCATCCTCGAAGACATGAGTTATCGTCCGCCATTCATCATCAATTGTCTGTGCACCGTGTTTTTCATGCGTCACGCGCGCAATCTAGTGGTAGGGAACTTCGAAGCTTCGGGTTCGGGGTCAAGGGGTGTGGGTCACTCAGGTCACTCGCGTCCGGCGCCTCAGGGCCTCAGCCTTTATGTACAGCGTCCCGCGGCGTCTACCGACTCCATTCGCGTCGCGGAATTTCTACACACTACAATACCGCACCCTTCACTCATGCAATGGCTATCGTGAATGTCATGAGCACTTCATTCCCCTCCATAGCCACGTAGAAATGCCTGATCCCGACATTGTAAGCGCGCTTCTTCCCCTGAACGGCACCCCTTTCCTCCATAGCCGGTAGAACTTGTCCTATGATAACGTGAGTCTTGATGCGACGTTATCCGCACGAATTAGTGAGAGCTGCAGCGGGGCCAGGATGAACTTGTGCCGCGAAAAGGCGCGCCACAGGGCCGGGGCGCGACGCCCACTCATTCGATACTGCTCTATAGCTGTTCTCAGGTATTCGTGTGCACAGGATCGGCACTGAGGATCTCATCCTTCTTCCGATCTGCCGACACGCCGCTTGTAGCTTCCGATGAGCAAGTGCCTTAAACAAGCTAAAGAGAAACACATGGCTTCATCCATGCTCGCCGACGTGAAACGCCAGATAGTAAACGGACTTTGTATGTTATCGCGCCGCAAATGGGATAAGTCTCTGCTCGTTTGCGTCACAGCATACCTATACAGAACGTATGACGACGGACGGCTCGCGTATGCCTGCGACGATAACTATCTCGTCTAGTTGTGAAGCTGAAGAGCGAGGGAAAGGACCGGCCGATGCGAGAATGTGGAACATGAACGTGGTGCATGGGCGTATTTCCGCATCTTCTGGTGAGCTGTCAAAGTTTGGCAACGTGCGGCATAGTGGCACACAGAAGTGGTGGCGAAACCGAACCTCATTCGATGGGTTACGTGACGACGATGATATCAAGACTAACGTATACACATGGGACAAACATGACTTGGCCAAAGTAGCTAGTTTAGACTGAACCTGAGTTTGACACGGGCAAGACTGACAAGGCGTGCTCGACAAGGCCTAAGTTCCCAGCCCTTCATTCAGTCGGGGCCAGGTAGTCGCGTATGGCGAACTTGCGATGCCATAGAAGATCGTCCCCTGTTTCTATCTGGATGGCTTCAATCTAAAACGCCCGCCTGGTCAGTCTCCTGGAAGGGGATACTCAATTGCGGGTCAGCGTACCCGTGTGTAGAGGGCGACGTAACGTCGTCGCCACGCCATCTTTTGGAGGATTTCCTGCCTACGTTGAGAAGCAAAGTGCATCTTTCTCCACCAACCGTACGCCGCCAGCGATGCTTGGAGCCTCTCTGTATATTGCAGTTCAGTACGTCGTCTGCAACCGCTCGCCGCACGCGAAGTACACCGCCTAGTTCATGGTTCCTGCTGAGACTAGTGGAAGCGTGGTGCTTGGGAGGCCACATGGACTTCGGTATTCCGCACGCCGTCACAGATCCGTCAACATCGGCCTTCTGCTCCGGGTCGCGTTGCAATTCGTGAAACGCTTCCTCCGCTGCAAGATCAGTCTTGAAGACGAGGACAGCGCTCGTGTCGTTGACCCATTCTATTGCGAGCGGCCGGACACTGTAGTGTGCACAGTATACGAGCAACTTGTTGACGTGAAGATGAGAGAGAGGTGCGCCGAAGATCAGCAGAGTATTGCGACGGTGCCTCGCATCCTCTTAGCCGGAATCAACAACGACATTGCGCATGATCTGGTACTAAGTGCATACCTATAGAAATATTGATTCTGGCACCTGCGCCCTTGACTTGGTAGTCGTCTTCGTTCCTGCGTTTGCGCTGATATGGGCTTCAGGCGCGGGATTCCTGTTCGAGCATTCTCCGTACCTTCGAGCCGGACCGACAGACCGTTAAATCCGTGAGCATAAACGCTGTGTTTGTAGTCTCCTGCGACACGTGGGGCGAGTACATAGCCACCTGCGACTCTGATTATTGCGTATCACGGAGTCGCGAGGGCCTAGAGGGAGAGAGCTTGTGGTGGTGGTGGCAAATAATCAAGTAGTGAATGCCGGTGTCAAGAGTCGAGAACCCAACTTCAGGGCTCTAAACAGCTCTGGCCCTGAGAATCGTTCGAAATCACATGGATGGTACGACGCTGGTCTACGCAGAACCTCGCGATCGGTAACCTAGGCATGACGTGGCGCGAGCGGCGTGTTCCCTCTTTTGCCAGAAACGACCACGGAGCGATACTGCATAGGAACTTCCAGTGCTCCCGCCTTCTCTGTCTGCCACAGTGAGCTGCGCTCATTCGCGTATGCATTATCTGAAAAATATTTTCCATTGTTCATGTACAAGAACATGCAAGGTCTCCACACCGAGAACAACGGGTTGAAGAAGGATGCGCTCAGCCTACGTATTGGGAATTTACGGCCGCCAAGGAGAAAATTGTTCGTCATGTTAAGCCAACGGGATACTGAAGCGGCCGGTTGAGCAGTTGAGAAGTCTGAGGGACCGCGAGCCATCGCGGCGTCGCCGGAGGATCTCTTCCTGTCCAACGAACTGGAGGGCAGGAGGAGACTGAGCAGCATAAGTTCACCGCGATCTATTATAGCCAACTTCAACATGAATTAGTGTCTGTCAACCGCATGTAGACGTCGACGAACAACTCGTCGGGGCAGCTCACCTTGGACACGACGTATCACTGTCACGGTTACGTCGACATGATGGCCACATCCTCTCCCGACTTCGAGCATACGCGAATCACCATTGGCATTGGGTCAACATGAGCTCAGCTCGCAAAACCGATCTCGCGCAATACGACGCTGGACTCACTCGGCGCCTTCTTACCCCTGCTGTCGTTTGTTGTGTCCCGCTTTTATGCTTGGTACCCGATCCCCCATATACGAGTGCCCCTTGGCAGGATCCCCCCCTCACTATATCTGCAATGCTCCTTCCTGAACTGTTATACACTGTCTCCAGCTAGCCTTCTTCATGTTGCACTTATATGTATCTCCTCCAGCAGGCCGCGGCCCACACTGGCGTTTGCTCACCCTCCTCATTGATATGTCAATACCGTCGCCTTCAACATGCGTATAGTGAAGATGCGGGGATAGACGAACCCTTGTGCGTCATGAGTAGGGCGGCAGACGGTAGACGTCTCCTAGTCAATAGATGAAGATGAACGTAGTAAGGTGATAAAGAACAAAGCAGTGTGGAGACTCGCACACACGATAGGTATATCAGCAGTAGACAATGCCATTCTCAAGGCCTACGTTTACTTTATACTTGACGTGCAAGGTAGCCTGACTTGATTCCCCGCGGGAGAGCCGCGATGAGAGCCTGCATCTTTGGCGATCGTGCGCGCTGGTCAACAAGCCTAAATACGTGACACATCTGTCTATGTCCACCCTTCCAGTCCCTGCACATTTGCAGTCAGCGTCTCATGTTCGAGAATCAAAGGCCGGTGCCTACCTCTTTTGACAATATTGGTTGCAATAGATCGGTCTCTTGCAGGCGGCACATGGCCGGCGATCGCACAGCCGAGGGAGCGGGGAGAGACAAGCGAAACAGAAGTCTCTAAACCCAAGCCATATTCGGGATGCCGGCCGCAATGCATGCACCTGAGCCGGCGATAAGCCGTCGACGGTCGTTGATGATATGGTGCGAGCCGCCAAGAGCTTCGTGATATACGCTGACTGTGTTTGCATTCCCTCAAAGGGGCGCGCTATCTGTTCGGCTATGTCGAGAAGAGAGATCGACTCTATTCCCATAAGGGAGGATTGGCGCGGCTCTCCTAGCACTTCGTAGAGCAACGCGAGATAGCTTTCCGAATATCTGCTGCGCAATTTGGGGTAGAAAGCTCCAGCCCGCTGTCCACTGGCCCTATTTGAATGTCAGCGTACTGCACATACACTGCAAGATAAGCATCTTACATGCGTTGCAGGAAAACTTGATAAAGCTGGCGCCATAGAAACTGCAGGACTTCGTCGTCGGCCGACATTGTTATGGGACTTGTGCGTCGTGCGAAAAGGTGTCGCGTCAAGTAGTTTACGGGTTCCAGATATCGCCCAAAATGCTGTGCATATTCAGAGTTTCTCTCGAAGCGACCTTCAATCCCAACAGTCGCATATCGCCTGGCGTGATATAGACTGTAGACGATAGCGACGACCTGCAACCACAGATGTGAGTGCTGACAGAGAACTGGTTAGACGCTCTCGAGGTAGATGGCATACGTTTCAACGCACCGCGCCGTGCTTTTGCACTAGTTCCGTCAACAGCCATATTACGTTTGTGACCTTGACGTGCAACAACTCTCGACGGGGGAACGCAAACTTTCCGATCGAAGGAATCGCGTTTCTAGGTGCGGCCATCGAACGCAGGGAAGAGAGCACGAGCCCAAAGTCTTCCCCCGTTGTACGCTGTAGTTCTTCGACAACAGAGATTGAGCGTGGTAGGCATGGGTCCCGGAACAGTGGTTCAAGCAAACTGTACATGAGGGTACGGCAGCTTCAAGAGTCTGAGAATCGAGATATCGCAAAAGCAGATACTTGATGACAATGCTCTTCGAGTACACATCGATGATCCCTTATATGATAGATACGCAAAAAGCATCGGAACACGCGACGGTCAGCATCATGCGCGCAATGCTTGATATTTCAGAGCACGCTCCATATCACGGAGGGCGGACAACTCCGACATGAGAAGTAACAAGGAAGGCATGCACTAAGAACGAATACAACAGGCCAGAAGTTCCGTACATGATCACCCGCGGCCGTTGGCAACGAAAGCGGTTAGACCTGGCGAGGATTGAGAGAAGATAGTATATATCACATAGTAGGCGCCGAGACGGTACATGTGCAACCAGGGGCAATCGTGTAACACGTTGGAGTATGTCCTTGAGCGAACCAGATTGAGACCCGGGTGATGAGGGCGTGGGTTTGTCGTTATTGAGCGCGGCCGAAGAGCAAGCATGAGAAATCGGATCTGCATTCTTGAGCG